TTAGTGAGTGCGCGAGCATGTTTTCGACACCGCCATCTTTGGCGATTTTTCTTTTTTTTTTGGCATAGTTAAATGCCCTGAAAATTTATAGATGTGTACTTCACATAATACAAAACCCACTAAGAACTTTCAAAAAATAATAAAACTGTTTAGACCCCGAACTGAAGTGAAAACAAAAAAGTAAAAAGTGAAAAAATACGTGGGCGAGCACGTTTTGACACCGCCATCTTTGGCGATTTTTAAATTCTTATTTGGCTTAGCCAAATGACTTGAGAATTTACGGGCATTTACCTCACGTCATAGAGAACTCACAAAAAAACATTCAGAAACAAATAGTTATTTTTAGGCCCTGAAATAGTTTTTGGCGGGGGCCAAACGCCGTCAGGTTCGGACCCCGTACGTACGGAGGTCTGCCCGGGGACCTCCGTACGAACGGGCTGGTGACCCTGTATATATATACTGTGGCTTATTGCCTTTTGCCTATACCGTTCTGGGGCCCTGCTCAAGCAGGCACAGAAGGGGGGTTGGCTCCTTCCTCCAGGGGCCGACCGGACGATGGGGCCCCATCCGCCATTCCCGCTGCCCAGCTAAAGAACTGATCTCCTGTCCATGTTGAGCGGGCCATCTTTATTCCCTACTCCCTACAATATCAATGTGTGATTAGGGGGGGGAAAGGGTCTGGGAAATCTGTGGGAGGGGGGAGGGGGATATTGCCAGGGATCGTGGTCCAATCATTGAAACGGAGTCGATAACTCTTCTCTTTGGCTTCCAATCGATGATCGTCGTCTGCCAGCTATCCCACTGTACCCCTGCTATCCTCCCCCCGCGTTCCCCTCCCTATATCTGTTCTGTATGAAGGTCGCCTAATCAGGGTGCATTAAGATTACTCTGTTGTCTTCAATGATTGGATGCAGATTGAACCCAGCTTTCCAATGGGGCATTGGGAATGCAATAGTAGATCTTCAGTGCTATGGGGTGTACAAACGGCTAGAAAATTGAGTACAATTCAGGCGGCCTGGCACAGGCTGAAGGGGCATCACACTCCTTGTGCCCAGAAGATCTCGGTCACTCTCCCAGACATTTTCTGATGTGCTCAGATGATTCTGTATAAGGGCCGCTGGACCCGTTTTCCAGCAGGTGGGAACTTCCCACCAATAGATGGAGTCTTCCTCGAGGGTACTGATGGTGGCTGCTCCAATCTACACCCCCAAAACCTACACGGGCAGTTTTTAAAATTCGGGTGATTTATCCCTCAACCCTCTCGGCCAACACCTTGGCCAGCATTTGGAAAACCACCATCTGTCTTTGAAATCTACACCAACTTCAAAGAAGCCCTGAATTGTTGTGGATATTTTGTACTTATGATTGGGGGAAAATGGTCTCATGCTAGATCATTCTTTATTCCCTTTCACAAATTCATAACACCACCACCACTGCCTCCATCACTGCATCGCCATTTCTTTTGTTCTTTTTCGTTTTTGCCACCATTTCTTCATCACCATCTGGCCTATTCTCTTCCTCTTCTTCTTCTTTTTTGAAAAAAAAAGGTGAAACTATACGGGAGTCACAAAAGTGAGTTATAATTGCAGTATGTGTTAAGATACAGTTTGCAATTGCAGTTCGGGCATTGTATACAACCCAGCGTTCTGGCCAGGTAGGGTGCCCCACGTGCAATCGCAAACTGTATCTTGCCCCCATAGTGCAATTATAACTCCTTTTTGTGACTGCCCCGTAGTTACCCCCTTGAGAAGAAAAAAAAAGCCTTTCACAAAATCCACTATCCTGGCAGTGGCTGCTTCTCATTGGCTTTCACAAGTTCACATAGCCACCACCACTGCCACCATCTCTTCATCACCACCAGCATCACCATCACTACTCTGCCGTTGGTGGCCCCACAGACTCCACTCCTACAAATGCCTGAATATGCATTTCAGTTTTCTTCCAGTGCTGCCCACTTGCCGCAGTTTCCCTTTTGTTCTTTCTCTCTGGACCTCACTCCATTATGCAACATCCTAAATGCATCTGGAACTAGCAAAAGTTTGAATGGCCCCGATAGGTTTTGAATGCCCGACCAGTCAGAATGTATCTGGTCCAGCAAAAGTCCAGATACACGTTGAATATTGAGTAGCGGAGCGAGGCCCTCTTTCTTTCTTTCTTTCTTTCTTTCTTTCTTTCTTTCTTTCTCTGTTTCTTTTCGGACTCCCTTCGCCACATCCACACCATATTTATCTTGTTCTTTGGCTGTGGCAACTGGGGTGTAGCTCCCTACCGTAGTGACTGAACCATATTACAGACATATAAAGTAGATCAAGAGTTCAAGTCCCATTGCCGGGGGGGACAATAATGCTCAATGATAATCCCCTTTGATTGACCAAAAAAGAAACGGCGGAATGCGGTGATCTTTTCTCCCACTGGCACATGAAATGCAGGCCATATTTCTGCTGAATTTCCTGGGGCAGCCACCCAGTGGAAGTGTACAGTTAACCAATTGCTGTCAGCACCAGCATCAGCACCACACCCAGCCCACACCCTCATCAGCTGATTGTCCTTCCATCACCACATAGAAAGCAGGAAGTATTGATGAAGGACACAATGATGAATTAGTTGGCACTAGCCAGCTGTTGATATATCTGAAGGCCATTGCCTTCCCCCCCCCCCCGTCTTTGGATGCAGGCCACCTCTGCTAGTATTCTCAACTGCTCCTCATTCATCCTCCTCTCTGGAATATTGGATTGTACACTGCTTCTGGTTGCTCTGCTGTTGGCTTCAAATTGCTTGTAATGGTCTGATAGTGGGTCTCAATCTAGGCTACCAGCCGGGCCGCCTGGGTCACCCTATTTTCCTGGGCGGCCCGGCCGTGCAAGGACCACCAGGGAAGGTCCCAGCCAAAAAAACAAAATTCAAAAAATCCGAAAACAAACTATGATATTATTATTATTATTATTTTTTTTTTTATTTTTTTTTTTTTAACCAAACATCAATGACGGGGAGTAGGGGAGGTGCTGGTAAGAGCAGACACCCCCTCTACTATCCCTGCTCGTTAGATGGCTCCATTCCATTCTTGGGGAGCTGCAACTGCTGGAAAACGGGTCCAGCGTGCCTTTACATCATAATAACAAGGAACCAAATGGTGTGTTATATATATCAGTACGTCAAGTTACATATGACTCGGATGAGCAGCATTGATTCCCCTCCTTGCAAGGGGATTAACTGCCCATCTATCACAGAGGTGGACTAACACGTATCACCTTCAGTACTTGTGCCATCCACTCATTTTCAAGACGAAACCCTAACTTAAAGAAAAACAGAGCAAATTATAGATTGTGGCTAACGAGCAGCTTGGATGGCCCTTCAAGCGAGAGGATTAACTACTCGTCAACCTGCACGCTGCCGGCTAACCCTTCCATAACAACCCCCCATCAAATCAACTAACCTCCTATGTAGCCTACAAGGAGGGAGTCTCCAGACCCCTCCAATCCAGAAGCTCCCAGGCCGCCCACCTATCACATGCCCACGTCCAATGACAGTTGTTTTATGCACATCATCAAGGCGCCCACCCTAATCATCCTCCCCTACAGCGTGCAGGCACCTATTATCATTGAACATCTATCCTACTGTCATGAGTGACATCTGCTGATCATGGAACAGGAACTTGAATCACGATATCAACCACCCCCTGCGTCGGGCAGATGCCTATTATCATTATCCAAACTGTCACCAGTCCTTTTGTTTACAATATTCGGTGCATAATCCATTGCCAAAAGGACAGGGAAATTTGTGTATTAGCCTACTCTACATAGTCACAGATTCCACAGACTCACAGGGAGGGTCACGATCACACTCTCCCTCAGCCACCCCTTCAACCCACGGGATTTTCCATTCCCTTCTGCCCTTGTGGGAACTCCCATACTGCCTTCCAACCCAACTCGGTCGCTTGATCCTGGTTCCGACTGTCATTCCAGTCCATGCTGGCAAGGGAGGAGGGTACTCCTCCATCATCTCATGCATGAATACAACAAAATCAGATGGACAGCCCGTACTTACCTTCACATGCTGTCCGCAAGCAAGGGGAGTCAGCGGTTGGACCTCAACCTTATTTTTGCTACTCATCCCTGCACCAAGCCTCGGTCGAGCAGATTCGTGCAGATGACAAGTTGTCATCTCACCCCCACATGTTGTACTTTTAAGTTTTGAAGCCAGTTAATGTCGTCATGGTCGTTGATGACTGTATTTTGAGCAGGGAGAAAGGAGGTTGCTGCTCCTCTTCCTTCTCGCTCCAGCGCACGTTGAGAGACTATTTCCCCCTCCGGCTGCACTCCCGTTCTCCCACAGCCAAAATCATCTTGTATGTTGTCCTGGTTATCTTGAAGTTGCTCCAGATAGTCGACCCTCGAACCGTCGCCATCCCCACCAGCTTTCTTGGGACGATAGCTATCCAGATACAACCCAGCATCACCGCCTTGTTCCTGCACAGGAGAGACCAGTATAGGCTCGGCAGCAGGAGCCTGCTCGCCAGATGAACAGCTCCTCTCCGCTGCTGCACGAAGCTCGGCAAACATTCGTCTCACGTCTTGGAGCAGTCTGGCACACTGGTGTAGGTCAGCCTCCACCTGTGCTCTACCGGTCTCATCCAGCCGTTGAAGGGAGACAATATCGTATAGTTCTTTCTTCCATCCCTCAAAAGTCTCCTCTCCTTCCTTCAAGAATTTGAGCGGTATATTGTTCTGCTGTTGATTCAGCAGCGCCCACACTTCCTCCAGCTGCTGTTTGTACAAAGATATTGCCGCGATCACTGTATCCACCTCCTTCAATAGCGCATCAGCCTCCACAGTTTGCTCCGTACGACACTGCACGGCAGGAGGGATGTCCTGCAGCTCCATTTCCTGCCCGATCGCCATCCGCATTCCCAACCCTTCAGCAGATCCCATCGCCGCTTCTCTCGCGCCCATCACTCCAACGCATACGTCGAGTGTCACGTGGCTCTCGGACGGATCAGCGTTGAGGCCACATCAGAGGTAGCCCCCACCGTGTTGCAAGGGAAGCAGACTGGGCCCTGCCAGTCGGTCCCCCGCAGGGTGCCGTAACTCGCTAGCCGCCTAGCGCGCAGGGAGCCTGTGAGAAATTCCTAATTATGCAGAAAACCTAACTGAACAACTTTTGCCTCAGGGTCACATTGAAATTTTTTACCAAATTTAAAATAAAAATTTAAATTAAAAACTAAATTTTATTTTGTTATTTTTTTATAGGGGTAACTACGGCGCAGTCACGAAAGCAGTTTGTACATGCATTCAAACTGCGTTTTGGCACTTCAGTCAGGGCCCGAGTTTGAAATCCAGTTCAAACTCGGGCTGCCTTCAGTCGGGGCCCTCTTCTATCGACGAACAGCAGTTGCAAAAAAAAAAAAAGGAAAAACAGCATCCCTTGTGCTGTGATTGTGGGGGGAGGCACCAGGAGGGCCTCCAAGGTTTCGGATTTACCAGGGAGTTGCTGTACTTTGGGTTTAGTAGGAATCTCCGGGTATGAGGAAGAGTGGCAGGAGTCTTCAAATTTTCTGATGCTGTGTTTAACCATGTCCGGAAGTGAAGGGAGGGACTAGCACGTAGAAGCAGACATCTGGCACCAATTTTAGGTGAAGAGGCTCCTCCCTCATAGCAATAGCCTGTTCAGTCAATTCCCTGGGTTCCAGGGTAATCAATGCTGACAGGACCCCACACATGCGCTATCTCTGATCCTTTTCAAACTCAGCTTGTGTATGGGACGCTGGACCCGTTTTCCAGCAGGTGTTGCTCCCCACCAATAGATGGAGCCTCTCCCCAGGTGCTAGTGGTGACTGCCCTTAACAGCACCTCTAGCACTGGTGGGGGCGTGTGTGTTTAAAAAAAAA